GGCGGTGCCACGCCCCCTTTTCCAAAATCTACCACTCTTCGCCGAAACGACGGCATTGACAACATTTGTTTCTTTGCCAAATTTCAGGACGTCAGCATAAGCGGTTCCAGAGGTAAGCGACATGAAAACTTCAGATTGTATGGGCGGTGCCACGCCCCCTTTTCCAAAATCTACCACATTTCTCTGTAAGTACGGTACTGACAACATATGTTGCTGTGTCCAATTTCAGGACGTTAGCATAAGCGGTTCCAGAGATAAGCGATATGAGAATTTTAGTTTGTATGGGAATTGCCACGCCCACTTTCCCAGTATCTACCATTTTTTCACCGTTAGTAGGGTATTTACAATCTATGCATATGTGCCAAGTTTCAGTTCCCCAGCATAATTGGTTTTAGAGATATAGTGGTTTTCACATTTTAGTCTATATGTCAGATGCCACGCCCCCTATGTATCGGAATTCACATTTCTGGATTAGAGGAAGTTATATCCTTTAAATCAGTGTATGTTTCATTGAAATCGAGCGAACGGTGCCTTCAAAAAAGGGATTGCAAAATTTTCTTGTGGCGTATTTATATATAGATTTTCATTAATTATTCGAATAGTGAATAAAATAATAATAAAACAAGTAATTTATGTATATAGATATTTACATATATTTATGTATAAAATTATAGCCGTTTTCGTGGTTCGGAATTAACTCAAACCCCGGTATAGATTTAAGTAAAATTTTCGGAGGTTATTCCCTGCGCATAGTCATATTAAAGGCTACTAGAAAACTCGATGGCGATGGAGCAGAGTTATTTATAACAGACGTCTTTATGAACCGATTTCGACAAATTTAAAATGTGTTCTGCCTGCATGATGAAAAGTACTTATGCGAAAAATGGACCCGCTAGGTGGCGCTGCAGTTGAGTTATTTAAAAAATCGGTATTTATTGTACAATCAGGTTGCAATTCATAATGGCGCTGCTGTAGGTGTTCTGACCCATTATATTTTTTGTTATTGAACTTTTGTTATTTTTTTAAATAAAAATATAGGCCCCTATTATGAGTTGCATTCGATTTTCGATCTCCGCTGGCTATCGAAGATCGAAAGTGAAATTCGTATTATGAGCTATGCAAGCGTGTCGAAATTTTCGCTGAGTATCGAATTTTCTGTCGAACAGAATTTTGCTTTCGTTGGTGTAGCGAAATGCTAGAAAATTTTAAAACTGTATGATTTTGCATTTGCTTTCTTACTTTTTGGCGGCTAGACACTAATTTTAAACAATTTGTATTAATTTCAAGCAGTTCTAACGTCGTGAATAGTAAACACAAGCTCGAAAATCTGGTTTTACATATGAAAGAAAATCCCTATACGCTGTTGGCACGATCTCTGAAAACAAAATCATTGGATCACAAAATGTCTTAAATATAATGTCAAAATATATTCGAAAGACTGCACTTAAACTCTCACGTTTTCAGCTCCTGGCCAGTTTTTTAAGCCCACATCCTCTGACGAATCGTTCAACCAGAACTCCGTTGTGCTAATCAACATTTTTTTTACCACGCTTTTATAAACTCGCTTTCTTTTTTATTTCATTTTAATTTTCACAAATTTACATATGTACACTATTTAATTTGCTCGATCTGTAAACAAAGCTTCTCAGCGGTGAAAAATATACTATTGTGAACAACCTAAACGAGCGAAATTCACAATATCTCTATTCTTCATCGAATGAGCGCCATAATACCAAATGAAAATTCGTTCGATTAGCACTTTCGACCACAGTCGAAGATCGAATGCAACTCATAATAGCGGCCATAGTTCATTCTTTAACAAAACCCGTGGAAATACATGTTTCCAAATTTGAGCAGTCCACTTGCAAAGGCGGTATGTAATTTTTTTTAGATTTTTAGTTTTTGGTGAGTAACGTACCAGTATTTAAAGTAGTTTCATGTCCACTAAGAATACAGTGCAAAATCTTTCTATTTTCTGAAAAAATAGCATCAAATGTTAACTACTATTGCAAAAGTCCCTATAATACTTATTTATACACTTTCAAAAGTCTCCATCTTCTGATGAACTTAGAAAACTGCAAGTAAACGTGGTAGTTTCGGTGCCTAGTGGACTAGTTGATAAAAAAGTGACGTATTTTCATAGAATCCACTCGCGTAAAACCACAAAATAATGTATATACATATATATAACAAATTTTGAAGTGGTGCATTCTAGAATCGAAGAATTTAATTATAAAAAAAAAAAACAAGAAAACCAGGATATGCAAACGTACAGCTTTTATATGTGTATATAACCTTCGCAGCCTATCCCCAACATGCCAGCAGGATACAACGAAGGGCCTTTCAGCGTTTCCGGAGGTAAGGGTAAGTCATTTTGAGTTCATACATACCTACATACATATATATATATATACATAAACATACATATACATATATTTTGCATGTGTTTGCGTATTCCTCGGTTAACCGGGGTGCAGAAATTAACATAATCATTTTCTTTTGTTGTCGCGCTGCATCGCGCGCATTAACTTAAAGCCTAGCTTAACTAGTATAACACTTCATCGCAAAGGTATAACAGTTATAGCACGGGATAGTTTTTGTTGTGACCGCGACATACTCGTCTTAAGCATTCTTGGTGTTTTTCCCGTTACAACACCAATAAGCCTGCGTTAAATGTTAAATAATTTTCCATTTTGTTTTTTTTTTTTCATTCTACCACGGGATGGACCAAAGGGTGATGGGTTTAATCACCAATAAACACAAAAGCAAATTTTCATAAACATACCTATAGGTTTTACATACAAGGCATCGAGTTAGATTGTTTCGCTTTTCTTTCACGCTATTTTTAAAATCGCATGCGATAATAATTTGGGCGATTAGGATATAAGTTGTTAGGGTAAAATAGTTAGTAATTTAAAGTTTTAAGATACAAATTCTATTCATCTTGTATACCGGTACAGA